GCTCTCATTGGTGTGCAGGTCAGCACGATAGCTAGGCGGTCCACTAGGTGCAGACACCAAGCGTACGGGTCCTGGTGGACCTGCCGAGCTGTAGTAGTTTCGCCGGTAGAAGGATCTGGGCGGCTTCAAGCCAGATGCTATTGAGCCCAGCAGTAGTACAGCTCCCAGCAGCTACAATTGAACAAATTGGGGATTAGGAAACCTCTTTCCATTTTGGCAGTCACAGCAGTCGTCGCTTACATTCCAGCACAGTCGCATTTTGTATGGGTCTGTGGGGTTCACACTAAAACTTCACTCGCAGCGATTCACTAGATTTTTCGCTGCCGTAACAACGAAGTAACACAATTACGAAAGTGTTTTCACGTCTGCAGTAAGTCTTGCGCAGCGGCGTGGTTTAAACGAAACTGAAAGTCTTGGCAATGGACACAACGGTTTTATGCCAGCTTCCTTCCTATTCCAACAAACCAAATGCGCTGCCGCAACATGTTTTGCAACAAGCCCGAAGACGACAACTGTGGCCAGCAAAGAGATCGAGAAAGAGAAAGAGAAAGAGAGAGAGAGAGAGAGAGAGAGATTGAAATCTGCGCACAAGTGAACAACTCACGTTTCACGCATAGACCTGGCCACCACTTGGAGGAAGCTGCGGCCCCAAACACAGCTCGACTCGGGCTGCTGGCAGGGGCTGTGCGACGGCCACCGCTAGCATCATTTGCATATCCAGTAGGAAGTGGAGCAGGCGGCATAAATAAAATGTTGTTTATGGCTGTAATTGTAAGCAACTATAACCATTTGTTAAATGTTGAGAGTGGCTTGGAATGCGCGTCTTATTAGCTGGCCAACTGGTAGTAGAGGGAGGCAATGGTCTAGCCGACCTCAAGCCAGTGGCCCTATCTGCCGCTAAGATCTGCTTTTGCGCTAACTGGTTTGAAGATGTGCCCACTGTATGTGTGTGTGGGTTACCCAATAAAAGTTGCTGCCACCACTTGCACTTTTTTGGCGGTTCGCTTGGCCTGAAGTTCAGGTTCAGCTGTGCCAGGAAATGCCGGCAATACATGTCTTGGCCTTTTGGTGCTCAGGTTTGGACTACTTTCTAGCAAGGCAGGATGCGACACAGGCGCAATGCGGAAAATGTTTACTTTAATTTTTTTCTTTCTTTCTTTCTTTCTTACTTTTTTCTCTGTCTCTGCTGTTTGGCGTTTGGTAGGTGGAAGTGGAAATCGGAATTGGACAGCGTTCAATTGCATAACATTTCATCACGCGCCATTTGCGCAACTCTCGGCCAATGTTTTCCGTTAGGCTTATCCTGTTACGTTGTTGTTTTCGTCATTTTGCAATTTGTGTTTGTGTCTTTTTTCTATTTTAAAACAATTAAATGCATGCCCCTAATGAATTAGTTGCTTAATGGCACTTTGATTGATACATTTGCAGTTGCATACAAAATTGGCCAATTAATGTTGGCTCTTTGCTGCATTTTCTTCCCATTTTCCAGCAAGGTCAAGCTCAAGTTCACGACGCATGCTCCACGACAATTTGAACAGCAGCAACAGTTGCTGCAAGAGGTGCAACCAACATTCGGCCGTCATAATTTCCGTTTCCATTGTGCGCAAAATGAACTCACCTGGCCGGCTAGCTGTCTGGCTGTCTTTCTGTCTTGCTGTCTGGCTGTCTGGATAGCTGTCTAACTGGCCAGCTGAGGCTGAGCTCGTTTCAAGTGCCGTTAACAATATAAAGTTCAGTCAACGTATTTTTGGTGAAATGTTCATTTCAGTGAAAGGCTTTAGCTTTAGCTTAGCTGACAGAGCCGCCTTAAGCAATCCCTGACTGCCTTTGGTCATGCGACATTAAAGCTCAATTTAACTCAACTATAAATTATACTAATGTGCACTAAAATTAATTTACTCACTTTATTTTCAACAGAAATTAATTATCTCTCTCTCACTCTCTTTCTCGACTTTACAGAAGCAGTTTATTGTTATGCAAAAGCTTAGCAATGACCAGGTTGTTGAATACTATTTATGTGAAAAATACAATTTATTTTTATTCATGTTTTGCTTTCATTCCATTTACATTTGCATGCCTAGTATCTAATTTATAGCCAATGAGTAATCTATATACAATTTCCTTTAGAGCCAAAATTAGTTAATTAGCTCTAGATATAGTATTTATATAAGGTCTGTTCAAGCAGCGATTGCTCTAAATCAAACGAAAGCATTCTTATTATGTGATGATTAGCATTTTTATTATTCTTTTGTTTTTAGCGAACTTAACTCACTAAATTAATACATTTTGACTGGGCAACTAATTGAGTATGTAGAAATTATATAAGATTTGCTGTTCGTTTTTTAGGCAAGATCATTAGAACTAGACATAATTTGTAGTCATTGTTGGCTGGCGGTGTTTATTTTGGTGCTGGTGCTGTGGGTGAAGTCGACAAGCGACAGCAAAAAAGAAGCAAAACAGAAAACAACGAGCCATAAAGCTGTCGCTGCCAACGTCGCAGTTGCCGTCGCAGTCGCAGTCGCAGCGGCAGTTGATGCATTCAATTAACATGAAACGACGCCAACGTCGAGTTGCATTCAATAAACACAAATAGTAAATATCGTATGTTATACAAGGTGTATGGTATATGGTATATGTATATACATATCAATAGTCGCTGCCTCAGTCGGGCAGGCCGACGTTGATTCGCCGCCCGGCCGAGCGACGCGCAGTCGCAACAGCTGAGGTCGGCGCTGGCGCAGCACCCACATCGACTACCAAAGCGTCGCCGTTGAAGCAGAGGCTGCTGCGCAGGTGTTTGCGTGGGTCAGAGGGAGATGTCGCCTCCGCAGCAGCAGCAGCAGGGGCAGGGGCAGCAGCAGCAGAATTATCCACATCAGACGCTGTTGCTGTTGTACGTGTGTCATCAAAGCGTCGAGCTCTCATTGCTCCCGACGTTGTTGTTGTTGATGTTGTTGTCGTTGTCAGCTCTGGCAATTTGGGCAAGATTTTCCGTGAGCGTAAGCTGTTGCTGTTGCTGATGTTATTGTTGTTGCTGCTGCTGTTGCTGTTGTTGTATTCGTTATAATTATTATGACTCTTTTTATTATAGTTATTTAACGACTTTGTATTGCGACCAGCTTCCACATATGGACCTGGCTGCTGCTGTTGTTGTTGCTGTTGTAGCTGCTGGCCGCTTCCTGTCCGCATATTTGGCAACGACTGCCTCAGCTGGCGACCCTCGCTCGGCTCCGAGCAATCATCATAGGCATATTCCGCTGTCTCCTCATTGTAGGTGACATGTTTCTTAGCTGGTGTCGAGCTGCGCAGCCGCAGCTGCTGCATGCCATTGTCCATGTAGTTCAGCATGGACTCATCAAAGTCCTCGATCCAGGGCTGCTGTTTGAGTATTTTCCTGGGCGCCATCACAGGTGCCCTCATGAACGACTCGTATGTGTCCGGCTGCTGCCACTGCTGGCCGTCGTTGAGTGGCTTCTTCGTGACCAGGCGCAGCTGTGGCGCATCCCGCTCCACGCTCAGATGGCGGACGTTGTGCTTCACCTGCAGCTTGGGGCTATTCTTGGAGTTGAGCTCCACTTCGCGCTTGTTGTTCATGTCCATTTTTGGACGACGGACATTGTTCTGCGTGGTGTCTGCATCATTGGTGTTGACGTAATCGTAGAACTGTATCTTGGAGCTGTAGGCTTGATTGCGTCTCGCTGCGCTGGGGTCTATCTCGGCAGCAGTCTCAACTGCTGGCAGTGGATCAACATCTGTGAGCTTGGGCGTCACCTCGCGACGTGCTCTGTTCAGCAGACGTGACTTGTTGTTGCTGTTGGTGTTGCTGTTGCTTGGCTGCAGATTGTCGTAGAACTGTATGGATGACTTGGCAAACTCCTTGTGAAACATTTGGCGCGTGTTCACCTCTGGGGTTGGCTCAGCTTGCAGTGAGCTCAGCTTTTGGCTGGCTGTTGGGTGTGGGCGTTCGGCGCCAGACTGCAGCTGGAGGCTATTGCGTCGCTTGACCCGCGTCTCCACGGCGCTATCTACACGCGTGTCGTCCGGCCAGAAGAAGTGCGACTCCTGACGATTCTGTCCATTGCCGCAAGGCCGCCCCTCCATCTTGGGCGGCAGACCCGTGTAGAACTTTCCGTTCAGCATTTGTCCGACGTGGTCCGTTCAACTGTGAATTCCGACTGAAACTGATGAAAAGAACGAAAACAACCAAGCGACTTTGGCAGCAGCTGCTGCTGCTGCTGCCTCCGCCGCTGGCGTCGACGTCGGCGCCGTCATCTTCGTGTAGGTGTTCAAGTTGGCCGCGTCGCTGCGCTGCGCTGCTCAGCTCAACTAATTTGCAATTCTTGCGAAAAACAACATCGAGGAAAAAAAAAAAAGAAGGGGAAAAAACACATTTGAACATTTGAAGTATTCAATTTATTAGCGACTGCGCAGCGACGCCAACGGCGACTGCAACGACGAGTTTCCGTTTAAGGTCAACTTGCCGCATTTTTCGAGCCAACGAAAAGTTGTTTTTCGTGCGCTGCGTTGACCAAAAATTAATGTTTTTGGACCTCAGATTTCAGTAGAGTCGAGCTTCACACAGTCCACCGCCAAGTTGTCTTGTCAATTAAGCCAAACAACTCAGTGAATGAAAAAGTCAGCGAATAAGTGGCTCAATTCTCGAATCGCAATGGCCGAGAACAGCTGCCAATTATGGGTAGCCCAGAATGGAAGTAATGTGTGAATATGGCTAGAGTAATGGCAATAAGTTTTTTGTATGTTGGCTAACGGGTCGTATGCGCAACATTAATTGTGCGATAGAAGAGGCTCAGCTAAGCTGGCCCCAACAATATCAAGTAATGGATGGATGAGCTGAAGAACTGCCAGATTTGAAATATTTTTTTTAAGCTTTAAATCAAGTATAATTTTATATTTTACAGAAGCGTAATGTCACTCTATATATCACTCTCCCTTTCTCTTAACTGATAATCAGCTGACCTAATCAAAGAAACGGAAGCTAATTAAAATGTTGTTAGACTTTATTGTATTTAATATATTTTCAATCATTTTTCACATTGTTGCTGTAGTATTTTCGAATGTGAGTATCATTGGAGAACACTACTGAACTACTTACATTATGACGTAGGTATTTTCTGTATGTTTTTCTTGTTTTGCTTTTTGCCTTTCTTTTTTTTAGACACAAATATTGTATTGCTGTTAGCATAATTATAAACAATTGATTTAAACGCATACTATTTTACATATAATTTCATGCACATCGATTTTTTGTTTCTTTCGTTTATTTTATTTTTATAAAACTCAAGATGCATTGAAGAAATATTTAAGAAATACGAAGGAATATTTAAAGTACGAACAAAATATCTCAGTTGAATGGCTGCTCTATGTGGGTATTACTGTGGTTTTTCGATTCTCAATGGATATGTAAGATGGCTTAGACTACATAGTTAATGGTGTTTGCATTTGGGTTTATATTCTGCACATTCATATTATTCTTATGTGTATTGGTATATTTATTTCTTTATTTTCTTTTAATGGATTTCTGAAACTAATCATTTAAAAACGATTTTTATTTCAATTTAAGAAGCATTACATGCAAAAACTTGTTGAAAACTTCTCTCGGCTGGCATATGGTTTTTTTTTTATTTTTTGGTTTTTACTTTTATCGCTTAGAATTAAACATATACTTAGGAGTTCTTAAATTGCATTTTGGTTTTCTTTGTTTTTTTTTGTGTCTTTTTTGTTAAGTTATTTTGTTGTTTTTTAAAAACTTTATTTACAATTTGTATTTAGAGCTGCTTGTGAGCTGAGAGGCTAATTGCAAACTTGAAGACGGATCCTGGGGCAGCGCACTTTCTTATCCATTTACCTGGCCAGCAATGCGGCTGGCTACCTTTCTCCCATCGCATTGCCAAATACCAGTTATGAGGCGCCATTAACTGCCAATATCTAAATCGATATCCAACATCAATATTCAGGGGCCTGGCTAATGAAGCAACGCCACCAACGCCTCGAGCCTGATGAAATTTTCCGCATCATTTTCGCAACGCTTAATGAGCAAATCATGTCGGGACTCGTTTACTGTTGCTGCTGCTGCTGCTGCTGTGGTTGTTGCTGCTGCGGGGGCAGCATCGGCGACATAACAATAATGTTGGCTGTGGCGGCCGGGCCATACTCGAGCGGCTTCTGCATGGCAATCCCATCGGAGTCCGGTGCACGGGTTATAACGCAATACTGATTGCCGTTGTAGGTGACGATGGGCACGTTCATGTTGCCGGCAGCATCGCCAACATTGACGCCGATGGTGTTGCCGGCGTGTAGACCAGTCAATTGGGCCTGCATGTAAGTGGCCGCCGTTGGGGAGTTGGCAATAATGTGCGAGACGGGCACTGACACCTGATCGGGAAGAAGGGATGAAGGGATACAGATACAAAGATACAAGATACCAGATACAAAGATTGAGTGAAAGTGACAAAAATTTTGCGTGTTGTTGTTGAATGGTGTTTAGGTAGTTGTTTATGTAGTAGTAGTAGTTGTAGTTGTTGTTGTTAATAGCTAGTTACTTCATGTCCCTGATGGGCGATGCTGTTGCCGATGTTGTTGTTGTTGTTGTTGTTTTGGCTGCTGCTATTATTATTATTATTGTTGTACATAGGCGCGCTGGTCTGTGCTTGCTGCTGCTGTTGATGCTGTTGCTGCTGCTGTTGTTGGTGCTTCCTGGCCGCTTTCTTGCCGCCAGCCACATGTTGCTGTTGCTGCTGCTGCTGCTGCTGCTGCTGCTGTTGGTTGGTATTGAGGATCATCTGATTTTGTATGATTATCTTCTGGTTACGTGCATGTGCCTCCATTTGCGAGTTGTTGTTATGTATTTGATTTCGGTTCGCATCAATTTGATAGCCTCGATTATTGTTGCTGCTGTTGTTGTTGTTGTTGTTGCTGCTGCTGCTGTTGTTGTTGTTGTTGTTGCCGTTGCTCTTAGCGATGGCGGCTGCTTGTTTTGTGGACTCTACGACTAACCGTTCTTGTTGTCAATACTGCAAGGATCAAAGAAGGCCAGTTTAGAGCCGCACCGATACGAAATGCTTGTACTGCCCTAGGCCCCGCTGGCCGGTAGGCTCAACCGACATTTGCTCACCTCCAGATGACTCTTGGCGTGAATAGACCACTCGTCCCTGCTCGAGAACATGCGTCCACATAGCTCGCACGTCCACGATAATTGCTGCTGGTGGTGTGGTATGATGATGCCCGGAATCGCTGTCGGCGCCCCCTGCGCCGACTGCACTATGATATTCTGGGCGGCCACCTGCACAGCCTGTTGCTGCAGCTGCAGCTCCAGGCTCTGCTTGTTGTCTTCCGGCGGCGGATCCGGTTGTTCCTTCTTCTTTACCATATTGTTCAGCCGCTTGCCGAGCGGCGCGATATTTGTGGGCGTCACATGCTTGAACTTGTTCATGTGGATGACGAGCTTGTCCCGGCGAGCGAACGCCTTATTGCACACCTGAAATGGAGCAGATTGCAACAGATTAGTGGCTGCCAGCCATCTTTGGGGCATTGAAGCCTTTGAGTCTAGTGCTGCTTATACTTCACAAATATAGGGCTTCTCGCCGGTGTGGATGCGCATGTGGATGGTCAGCTTGTCCTTGCGCGCCAGCCCCTTGCCACAGACGGTGCACTCGAACGCCTTGTTGGTGGCTGCAGAGGATCGCCATTGTTTTCATTGAATGTATAGCAATCTGTTGTTCTTGTTACTCACTTTTTGATGGGTTTGTTTTGCGCACCCCGGAGGACGCCTGCTGCACCTGTTGCAGTGCCTTGAGCCGACTGGCCGGATGCATGGAGCCGCCCTCCACGTACGGCTCAGTGAAGGGTATCAGATTCGGCTTCGGTATGTTGTAGGTGAGCTGTTCCGCCGCTGACCAGGTGCCCAGGCTCTGCAGCACGCGCACTCCGCCCTCGAAGCCCATGCCGTCGTCGGGCACCGTAAAGGTGCTGTCGCCGGCGGCGCCAGCAGCGCCACCTGAGCTGGAGGAACTGATCTGTGGCACTTTAATGGTGGCCGCATAATGTTGCTGCTGTTGCTGTTGTTGCTGCTGCTGCTGTTGCTGCTGCTGTTGCTGTTGTTGCTGCTGTTGTTGCTGCTGCTGCTGCTGCTGTTGCTGCTGCTGCATGCTGCCATTGTTCTGGCTGCTGTTGTTGTTGGCCGTGGGCGAGCTCTGCTGCACGGAGCTCTGTTGCTGCTGCTTGAATTGGATGGCCGCCTGAGCCATCTGCTGTTGGACGGCCATGTGCGCTTCCAGATATGCATTCTTCTGGGCCACCGTCATCTTGTCCATGTTAACGGTGCCGTCCTGCGAATTAACCAAATGGCAATGAAACATTGAATAAGTCTCTCGCTCACATTCCGTTCCGTTCCGATTCGTTTCGTTTCGCTGCCACCCCTAAATGGCCAAGCGCGCAAGTGTTGCGAAATTTCACCAGCCGCCACCCCCAATAGAACGAACTCAAAACAGCCTGCCCTTGCGCAAAAATTTGTGACTTGAGCTTTTGCTCGGGCGGATTTTCAATGAGGTGCGGACGTGGTTGCGGGAGCGGGTGCGGGTGCTGCCTCTGGTGGTGGTGGTGGTGGCGTTGCTTGCTACTGCTGCTGCTGCTGCCACTGAAGCCGCGCGCGTGTGTGTGTGTGTGTATGCCGGCCGTTCTCCCTTTGGCGGCGTTTTTTGGTTTGAGGCTTTTCCGTGTCTGCCTAAATGTATTTAAAGCGCGCCAGCGAAAGTTAAGCAAAATATTAGCCGTTCACTCACTTTGGCTTAAATGTTTATTGCCCGCTATTCACAGTTGGCTAATGCCGCAGCACTAAACGCGAACTGTGCTCAATGCCCCACACCGTGCGCACTATTGACATTTTCATTGGCTTAGTTTTGTAGCTTTTCTTTCGCCTAGGTTTCTTTTAATTTCTTTTCTGTTTTTCCTTTTTTTTTTTTTTTTTTTTGCAATGTTGCTTACCACAATTGAAAATCAATAAAAAGCGTTGCGTTTCGTACAAGATTTTTTTGTTGTGTTGGGCTATCTATAGTTTTTCTTCCTCTTCTTTTTTTCTTTTGCAGCTCACAGTTTTTGGTATATTTCAGAATGCTATATGCGAGTGGTACACGAGCTTTATTTTTAGCTACTGCTGTCGTCGCCGTTTACTTCCTCGAGCCAGTGCTCAGCGCCTTTTGTTTGTGTATGTATTGCGAAACTGATTTGGAGTCGACTCGCTCAGTCGCCGTCACCGTCACCGTCACCGTCACCGTCGCCGCCGCCGTTGGCGCTGGCGTTGGCGTCGCAGTCGCAGTCTCAGTCTCAGTTGCGGCCAGAACGAACACAATTTGAGTAATTATTTGTTATTCTTCACCGAGAAACAGGAACGGAACGTGCAACAATGACGACAACGACTACGACTACGACCACGACCACGACGAAGGCAGCGCTGGAGTCAGAGTCAACGACAGACAGATACTGAAGCGCCTGAACTTGAGCGCAAAAGGCGGAAGTGTAGCTAGAAAAAAGGTATTGCATACCACTCGGCGCTCTGCCCGAGAGCTTTCGCTCTCTCTCCCACTCTCTATGTCTCTCTCTCTCACACACACTCTTGCGCTCAGCCGCGCGATGGTGGTGGCTGCCGCGGAACAACTTGACAACGAAACACCGTCGTCCGCGTAACTTTGACAATGACAATTGCGGAGGCCGCTTATCAGTTGAGATGCCTTGCTGGTTCACTCACCTGAAAGTCTATGGTGGCTCGAACCATTTGCATGGAGGCGGCATAGTTTCGCAGCATATGCTCGTTGCGCACGCAAAGCTGCCGCCACTCGTACAAGTGCTCCAAGCGGTCGAGGCACAGCTCGCATATGTGCTTTGGCAGATAGTCGTCCTTGGTTATCTGTTGAGGACCACAAACACATATATATATGTAAATGCACACATACTCATATACTCAGCTACTCACATTCGCCTGCAGCAGACTGCGCAGCTTGTAGAGCAATTGGCGCTGCTCCGCCTGCGGCTCAAAGATATGCAACTTGGTGGGTCCATGGTGTATGCCACACAGGCGGCACAGCTCAGCGAAGTTGCTAAAGTTTAGATCCACGTCGTGCTGCTGCCCCTCCTCCCCATAAAGCTGGCCGTCATGTGTTGCGCCCGCAGTGTCTAGCAGGTGTTGCTGCTGCTCCAGTTGCTGTGCTGCTGCCTGTGCAGTTGTGTGTTGTATGTGCGACTGTCGATTGTTGACGTTCAACATCACGTATTGCGCGCGCTTTTGGTTTTGGTATGGCTGGCTTAAGTGGTTGCAGCTGCTAGTGGTGCTGTATCTGCATATTGGCTGCAATGCATTGCTGATTGTACTGACAGGTGCATACCCACACACATACACACGCACACTTACCCATAGTTCGAGTAGCTATAGTGGTGCCCAGTTGACCACCCTCCCACCTGATTGATGTGGGAAAAATCGATGGAATTGCACTATAATTTACTCAACCACAACACTGAAAATAATTGCTACCAATCAAGCTATTATCAATTAACTTGGCTATCCCGTTACAAGCACTGCGCGCCCATTTAGCCATATTTTAATCCCTTATCATTGACATACATTCGTATGCGCACACACGCATGTGGCATGCAACATATACAGCAGATGACAATTGCTTTTTTTTTTATTTCATTCCCCTTTTTATTGAACACTTCGAATGTGGAGAGCACAAAATAAAAACGATTTACGGAATAAAAACTGCTAATTCTTACGATGGGTAGCTGTTGCCACTGCCACTGCTGCTACTGTTGCTGCTGCTGTTGCTGCTGCTCTTCCTGTTGCACTGCCACTTTGCCACTGCCACTGCCAGCGCCACAATTGAACCACTCTCGAGTGTGAGTGCAACGTCGCGTCGGTGAGTGAAAATTGCAGGCAACATAGCCTGCAGCCTGGGCACGGCGAGTGCGCATTGCAGGACTCTAAAGGGGGGCGTCCAGCTAAGTGGGCGTTTGTGGGGCATTGCACACGGTTGGCTCGTTCAGGTTCTTGTTTGGGTTGCTTGGGTGTTTGGGTGATTGGATGTTTGGGCTTTTTTCTGTACACCAGTAATTTTTTGTTAGAGAAGAAATGAAAACAAAATGCTTGGTAAATCATAAAAACGCGGGCAACAGGTGTTGATTAGCCTTCTGCTTCCGGTGGCGGTTCGTCAGCAGCAGGTGGTGCCTCCTCAGCTGCTTCAGCCTCTGGTGGTGCTTCCTCAGCTGCTGGTGGTGGCGCTTCAGGCGCTGGCGGTGCCTCTTCAGGCGCTGGTGGAGCCGCTTCGGCAGCTGGCGGTGCAGGCTCAGGCGCTGGTGGTGCCTCTTCAGCTGGACCTCCATCTGGTTCGCCTGCGCCAGCGTCAGCCTCTTCTGGCTGAGGTGAGGGTGCCGCTGGCTTGCAATCGGACAGCGAGCTGCTACCCTGTTCGAGCATTCCAAATTCATCTTCACCAAATACATCGGCGAAATCTTTCTGCTCGGACTGCTCTTCCTCGGGCACAACCTCTTCATACACAACGATCTCCTTCCAAATAATCTCCTCATCGACGCAAACGGGCTCATCACTCTGCGGCTCTACACGCTTGGTGAGATCTATATCTTCTGTACACGGCTCGGTGTGGTCGAATCCACCACAAGTCACACATGATGACGTAGTTATCAATAGCGACGAATGCGGCGAAGAGCTGGACAGCACAGAGGTGGTGCTGGACACCTTATCCTTAGGCTTGGCATCCTTAGCTGTCGACTTGTACGTTACGGTCGTCTGTTGCGACTTCTCCTGCATGCACAGATCGGGCATTAGCTGACACTGATTGGTGATCTGCGGCACGACGGGATTGCTACGCATCAAATAATCGGACACACGGACCTTCCAATCCTCCTGGCTGCAGTCGACATTCTGCATAATATCATAGATTTCCGAAAGCAGAGGCTTCAGCATGGGACGGTTGCAAAAACGATTCTTATCGAAGATTTCAATGGGCTCATGGATATCTGCACAAATGACATTGTTGAGAACATATGATAGACATTGGTGCTCTGCATTACTTACAGTTTGGAAATATAAAGGTTATTTCACGGGCCACACTATCCACATGCTTAGTTACATGAATATTGCGCTCCAACTCCGAAGCGGTGCCACTGTAGGTCAAACAAATTAATGGATATCGAGCTGCGATGCCCTCGACTTACAAATAACACATCATAATATTCAGCAGATCCTGTACGCCGTTCTCTTTGGTAAGAATAAAGGCCTCAGATATACCCTTAGACAGCAATATTACCTCCAGCATGAAGCCCTTCTCATCTGCAAAGTCCGCATAGAACTCGGCTGCCAGCTCAGGCGAAAAATTCAACTTCCGACTTCCCTGAATCTGATATCCGGAAGCTAAGACCTTTAGCAGCACCGGACGACGCTTATGCATATAGTCCGGCTTGATGATAAGCAGCGTATCCTGGAACAGCATTCTTAATCACATATGTAAATTATGGTGTATTTCTGGAATTGCTTCCAAATAAATTTTAAACATGCACACTGATTTATATATTTTTGTAATATTTATTATCAGATTTTATTCTCGTTTTAATGTTTTACACTTTTTGTCGTCTTATGCTACACACACTTTTTTTTATACGTTACTCCCATTTCTCCGTAGGTCGAACCCGTTTGATTAGTCGCAGACTGTTTTGGTTTATCGTTCCACATGATATATTCTTTTAGGATTGCAGCAATATTATTATAAAATGAGTTCACGTTTAAGTGATATATAAAAAGTACATGACCTGAAGAGGCGTGTCTCCATTTAGGATTTTAATTTAATTTAAGCCCGCTTCGCATTCTCTTGTTAAAATCAATCGGTTTCGAGTGCATTCTCATTTTAACTATCACCCGCACTTTCTTTCTCGACTTAAGTGCAATGTAAAGTAAACAAAATTATAAATTTTAGAGAACAGTAAGTAATTTTAGATCATTACAGTCACAGTGGATTACAGAATGTAAGCAAATAAGTAAAGATATAATATATATTTATATAAATCGTGGCGCCCCTTTGCGACACATCACAAGGCGGTTTCGGTTACAACATCTTAAGCTGTAATTAAGAGTTGAAATTTGTTATCAAAGCTGGAATCAATAAATCTCTTCTAAATCCTCCCATATACCTGAAATTTTGGCAAAGGCCAAAGCGGACTTCTCGTTGTCAAAGCATTTGCCTATCTCAGCGCAGACGTGCGACGGGTCGACATAGGGACGCTCGGACAGGTGCATGATGCTGTAGCCGTAAATAGTTATCATTCGCGAGCACTAAAATATAAACATTAAATAATATAAGATACAGAAATATATCGAATTGGGAATGTATCTACTTACAATGCTATAGTACTTGGCTGGCAAGTCCTCGCAGGCTTGTGAGATCATGTCCCGAATGGTAAATTTATCGTGATCCTTCTCCGCGCGGAAGAATGGGAACAGGGACTGCGCAACTCCATGGCAAACGCCACACTCAACCACCTCATCGGTGACGACTTGGCTGAAACAGAGCTGTAGTTTCTGGCACACCTCCTTCGGAGGCACCTTGCTTAGCAGACTAATAATGGCTGAGGCATAGCCGTCGATAAAGGTGTCACATTGCTTGCGTATGGTGGTCGGCAGACGTCCACAGACAGCGCGGATGGCCTTCTTGATCTCGTCCTGCTCGGTTTGGTTACGCAGGTCGGCTTCCAGTTTCGTCATGATGAACTCACACAGGACACAGGTGGGCGGCTCATCGACCTTGGCTGACTCCAAGCGCGCCAACTTATCGGCCTGCTGCTTGGGCATCACAATTACATCGTATTTCAAGGCCTCATCGATTTCAACTATCAATTGGGAAATTGAGTAAACATAAATTAAGTTTATATATCAACCTTTTTGTATATATTTTGTACACTTACGATCCTCCTGCTCGCCGCCCAAGCACATGCCAATCTCGGTGCAAATAATTTTCGGTTCCATCTCCCTCAGTAGGAGGTCGGCAATCTGATCACCGTGCTTGTCAATGAATTTATGACACTTGGTGGCCAATGGTTTTTTGAACTTATCGCAAGAGTGCTCTAGAGCGTCCTTAATCTCTGACTTGGTCGTATGCTTGCCAATCCTCTTCTCGACTGTTTTGACAACCTCTTCGCAGAGCAAACAATTGGGAGCGACGCCGAAGTCCTTGTCGAAAGCAATCTGTACGGGCATCTCCTTGCTGGAGTCGATTTCATTGGCTTCCAGTTCCTCGCTGTTGCTGCTGGACGACTTATCGGTCTCCGCGCTATCTATGAGGCTAATGCTCATTTCATCCAAATAGTCCTTAGTCTTGGGACACAGTTTGAGCTGTACGCAAATCTCTTCTGGCTTGAAATCGGTGATAAGCATGTCAATGAGCTCATTGGAGTAGGTCTCTACAAAGTCAACGCACTCGTCGCGCAGCTTGTTGGGCAAATGGGTGCACAGGCCGTCAAGAACCTTTCTGATATTATCCTTCGACTTGTTGTCACGTATCTTTATCTGAGCCTGCTCAACGGCAAACAGGCAAAGCGGGCAGGTGGGCTTGTCCTGTTGATCGGACACCGGTGATGGGTTGAATACCTCGATATCATCGTGGTTCTCAATGTTACGTGGACACATCTGCATCATGGGGCAAACGCTGCGTGGATTCAGACCCTGGATGAGCAATGCAATGACCGCATCGCCGTACATTTCCACAAAGTTGCGGCACTGTGCGGCCACACCCTGTGGTAGCTTGGTGCAAATGTTCTCAACAGTATGCTTAATCTCATCATCGGTAGCAGGCGTGGCCAGCGTTTCCTGAATAAAGTGCAACAGATACTCGCAGATGGTGCACAATTCACCGCCCTGCACCAAAAGGCCGGGATTAGCGGCTCCCATTAGATGATCAATTGGCAGCTGCATGTCCATAATTTGTTGGTGGCTAAATTTGGGCTCGTTGGCGCCTAACTTCTTGATAGTCACGTGCACTTCGGCAGGGGCAATGGCCGGCAGCAAAGGCATTATGGGTGCATCATGGGTCTTATCCAAGCCTTTGGGGCAAACTCCAATGAGGAAACAAGTGCCATTGGCGTCCAGATTGTTGACCAAAGTACTGTAGATGACATGATAGTACTGATCCACAATACTGATGCACTCATCCTTGAAGCCACGCGACTGTTTGCAGAAGCCCTCGAGAACCTGCTTAAATTCCGTTTCTGTGGTATTGGCTACAAGCACATCGCGCAAATGTTTCACTAGCTGCTCGCACAGAGCACAGGGAATGTCGTCACCAACGCCGTCCAGAGTAGTCAGTGCCTCCGGTTCCTTCACATCATCCTCGTGTTGATGGTAACGGGCTGCGCACACGCCAGACAAATGGCACAGGCCATCAGACTGCAAGTGCTGCTGCAGATTCTCGTAGATATCATTGAAATAGGTCAGTACCAAGTTGGCACAGCCATCGGAGAAACTGGACATGGTACCGCACCAGTGCAGCAGCTGCTCAACCATGTCGTCGCGGTTGGTAGACTCAAACTTGCTCTGCATCTTGCGCGTGAGCAGATTGCAATTTCCACAGGAGAGCTGAGTCAAGCCAGTCTCCTTGCTTTCTTCCTTCTTGTTATCATTATTATCGATCACTACTTCCTCTTCCTTGAGCGTGCCGTCCAGAGCCGCCTGATATGCGTTATGCAGCAGCTCATCGATGCGAGCGCTGTTGCACAAACCAGCTACCGAACAGACTTGCTGTAAGGGAAATGAGTAAGCTTAAAAAAGAAAATGTAAGCAGATTTTGTATCGGCTACTCACATCAGGATTCATCTGCGAGGACAACGCCTCGACAAGCTCGGGTATGAAGTTGTCAGCCAGAGTAATGCACTCCTTCTGCACTAGCTTGATGGGTATCAGTTTGCAGGAGCCTTCAAAGACCTCCTTAATCTCTTCCTCGGTCTCATTGCTGCGCAATTGATCGCGCGCCTGTGTTACCATGTCCTTGCATATCTGGCAAATCGAATCCGTGTCCACGGGCACGGTTCGTTTTTCCCACACGGTCTGAATACAGTGACGGGTAGCCTTGCATTCCTTTGAATTGCTATCGAATGAAACAAAGCGGAATAAGTTAGTCGACTATTCGAAGAAAAAAATGCTGCGTTCGCAGTTGGGAAAAACAAATGCCTCAAATGACCCGCAATCATAATCGCTTTTCGTTCAGTTATAAACTGAAGTCAGCAAAGATCAGAGTCCAAAGCATTGAATGAACCCTCGCAATATGCACTAGTTGAATGCACCCGCAGCAAATTTATCATATGTACACATTCAGATATCGCTTAACAGACAGCGGGAATTATGCTTAAACCGTCCAACCATTTAAAAACAATAATCTGATATTGTAGAGAATTCATACGCAGTTTGTATTCCCCAAAAATTACTGTATGTTTATAAATTCCATGATGTTCTTGATAGGCTGTGGGACACAGTAATGTGCTAATTTTTATTTAACAAACAAATATTGTGTATATACTAGGCAAGATAAGCAGACGTACTCATATTTGGAATATACGTATAATATATATATTTATATATTCATATATGCACTTATATGTAGCGACTTCTTGTTGCAAAAATTTTGCGACGTTTTCTGTTTATATTTACCATTTTGGTTTGACAAGGAAAACAAAGACGAGTTAAGCGATCCCGTGCACATAAATAAATAAACAAAGAAATATAAGCTAATGGAAAAATACGAAGTAAAATCGATCGATTGCAAAAATTTTGTCTAAGTTGTATGAAAGCTGAAGTGTTGATTATTGAAGCATTTGCTAGAAAATGCAATTATATACTTGCAATGGCGTGTTTATGGCGGGTATTGCATATGTATATATGTACATATATATACATACACACTATTCCAACCTAGGGCAAATACATGTGTAGGTATAGGTATAACTGCAGTTTGGATTAGTCAGAAATCGAATTGATAAGAAAGTGCCAAGTGTTGAATGTAATATATTCAGTTTCATTTATGACGAATAGTTGGCAAAGTTTGACCGAAAGTCGGGTAAATAGCAGCCCTAAGCCCGATTAGTCATCAAAATTTGCGGCTGATTATGCAGCTTACAGATATGTTTATTCATTTGCGCATATGTAATCCGTTGGCTCAGCTGGAATTTATATTGTTAACACAAATAACACTTACAAAGAGAGTCGCAGACGAAAGAGAGATACTGACAAAGGGAGAAAGAGTGATGGAGTGAGAAAGAGAGAGAGAGGTAGTGTATGTGTGGGCAAAGTGTAGCCAAAGTTCGCACGTATGACAAGTATGACAAGAAAACACAGAGAGAGAAATAATGCTAAAAAAAAAAAAAAAAATTAGAGCAACTGTAAACCGCATAACAAAGGTTATCGACGGCACAAACAGTATGGCGGCTCCGCCTTGGACGCCGCGCCGATTGCCTTCCTTATCAAACAGTGCTTCAAGACGAACAATGAACAGTTATAGAAGAAAATATAACAAACACACAACGGGTTACAAACTGCGTAGTGGCCATTGTCTTACATCCGAACTTATTTAATGCAAACGCGGGAGTTTAGCTTTTCTTCCAGCGGATAACAAAGCTTTTTTACAGTAGTTTCTAGACTCACCTGAGATTGTCGCACCAGTAGGAGGGGCCCCAGGTGCACTTAGTGGCACCTAGCAGCGGCTGCTCAGCAATTGGCGTCGATGAAACGAAAACGCCTAAAATGAAGAGAAACACACAAAGCATGTTGAGGAATAATATACATACATACATATGAACATACATTCGTATATGTAAAAGTCTATTGACCAATGTTTAACAAATACGCAATATTCACTATCAACGTCACAACTTACCAAAAACAAACACTGCCAAAATGGCCAAAAGGCCCGCGTTACGCATCTTGTTTTGTGGGTGTGTGCGCTCTCAGAACTGGTGATATTATTAAACCAATTTGGATTTTTCTTTTTTTTTTTTTGCTCTTTCAACACTTCAGCTGTAACTGCAACTGCACTGAATGAATATTTGATGAATAATGAGAAAAGCGAATTGCGTTTGCTTTGCTTTTGTTAATTTTTAGTGTGACCAGGCTCGCTGATCAAAATGAATATATCGATATACCTATCTATCGGCTTATAATATTAAAATATACTAAACATTCTCATAAGGCTGCCGTACAGCTACAAAAACGATTGGGAGCGCTGCCACATCGTTGAATTAGGTTAGGCGCACTTGTCAGTGTGCATGTGGACCCGAGTTCAAACCCCGTTGAGACAAAACAAATTAATTTTTTTTTTTAATTAAAAAAAAAAATAATAATAATAATAAAAATACCACTACTAGTACTTTATCTTTAATTGTTATTGTATGTCATTTGAATTGAGCTCTTGATAAGAAAATACTTGTCATATCAGCAGGCATTCATTTATTAGCTAAACGCTCGAGCTTTGTTTTAATTGTTTTTAAATGTCTTACTCAATAAACTATGGCAATAACCATCGACAAATGTTCTTGAACTTTTGCTCCAGCGCTTAGCTCTCGTAAATGTTTAACCAAACACAGAGGCGTAAGCGCTGAGCGCGCAACAATGCACACAAATTCAATTGTAATTATAGTTAACAGAAAACTAATAATTGATTGATGTTTGATATCAACTTTTTACACCGCATTGTTTTTGATGTTGGGAAAATGCATTTTAATTAGTTGAAATTTTTACACAATATGTGAATATACACATCTTTGCTTATCAAAATGCAATTTTCTATTCAAAACAAACTGAATAACAACTGATGCGGTGTGGGAGCTTAACACAGTTGAGAATGTTTGGTGCATTCTCAATGGTAATTCGCTGTTGTTGTTGTTGTTGTTGTTGTCGATATTGAGCTCCCCAGCAGAAAGTCGAGGTCAGCTAGTGGCTGCTGCTGAGTGAATTGGCAAGCGAAATGCCAAATGCAGTCACCGATCTATCTAACCAATATGTCTACAAATCTGTGTCAAGCCGGCGAAGGAAACTTGAAACTCGACTTGGCCTGGCCAAGGTAACGTGGCCAACTAGCCAGCCAGCCAGCCAGCTAGCTGTTGGCGGTGGTATTTGGTTCTATACCACATTTAATTGCAGCAGCGCGTGAACAAATTGAAGCTGCACTTGACCATTGACAATGAATTGCGAGGTAATTGACAATGGGTAGGCCTTTTAGAATTTATCCATCTATACGTAAGTTCAGCAAACAATTTTTTTCATTAAACACGCATAAAAACCTTGCAGGCGAGCCTAGTTTTCACACGGTGGAGAGATACCATTACCAAAGAGCTGTTCGTCTTTTGGGGGAACTCGGCTTGAAATTATTTGTTTGTTGATGGTTCGTTGCGTGACATACTTAGTCGGAGACGGACCGAGAGAGAGAGATTGTACGCTTGTAACCCTAATTACGTGCGTAATTACGAACAACCAGCCAACGAGACACAGTTAGAGAAACCTTAAGTGCGTCACATACACTTCATCTAATGGTAAATTGTTTTATTAGGTTGTAAAACTTGTGCAACTTCCTTCATCTAGCGCTTTAATCAGCCAGAGGCTGCAGCTCGATTCGGGGCGTGTTCAGCCATTGCTAAGCTGCCGCCAAATTGCAGTCATTACCGTTGGATCATTCTTTGAATGCGAATACTGTTGCCCTGAGACCAAGATCAGAGCCATGCGGAAATGAACTTGACCTTATCGACGCGCCAATGGTGTGCTAGACCTACAGCAAGCAACTGTTGCTGCCAGCTAACTGGCGGCTTACTAGCGGTTATACGAACGGCGTAAAATAAAATTCAAGTTAATCAATTCCGCAACAAATACAATATAGAGATTTGTTAATATATTTGTGAGTCAAATTTGCTGCTGCTAATGATAATAAACCAGCGAGAAACCAACGGAACAACACCACAGCGCCAATAACAAAGGCCAGGAAATCCAACCCCACCAATAACAGTTTCTACCTATGAAGCACACTTTAAATATGATAAACACAGTAGACGAAGGCTTCTTCCGCAAAGCAAACTCAACGCAAGAAGATCAAGTTCAAGAGTTTCTTCTTCTGTTTTATAGAAGCACACTAGAAGAGATGCATGGACAATGACTGCTATTCATGATGCTCGCCTCGCTCGTTTGCTTTGACCCACTGCAATCAGCCCACAACCAGTCACCTATTCATATTTAACACCTCTCAATCATATGTATCATTTAATTCGGGACGGCGCGAACGCCATTCCCGGCTACCAAAAATTACACGCACGAGTTATTCACATTAGGAATAATCGCAAAGGTCAACTCAGCCGAAAGTGCAATGACCGAGCCTCGCTCCGGAGGAACCGCCTTCGTGATCACGGTTAACCTCTACGCCAGGTAAGTATGCTTTTCTCTGCTCTGGAACAGCCACTCCAATACGGCAGAGTCAGAACCGTTTGGGAATTATTGTGCGCGCGCAAGTGAAATTTTCTACAGCAAGCAAAACAGTCAAAGCATGCGCTGCCAACAATTGAGTATGTGTGCGTGTGACCGTGTGTGTTTGTGTGTTCAACAGCAGGCTAGCATATTTCTGGTCGTGGATAATAAAAGAGGGATGGATTTTGGTTGGCTGGCAGCAGAAAGGAGACGTAAAATTGTTAATGTTAAGTTCTAAAAGTATTATGCTTATTGTTTAAAGTTAGTTAATTTCTGCATAGTTATTATATTATTTTGCTGAATTTAACTCATTCGATTTATCAGTTTTTATTATGTGATAAGCACTGCTTAGGCATTTATTTACATATTTATATGGTTTATGCCTCTATGGCTTTGCATTTTGCCTCATACAGTTAAAATAACAATAAAACAATAAAATTATACAAAGCTTGTGTACATATGTATGTATTTTAAATAAACATTTTTAATTATATAATTTCATCAGATAAATCATTTATATGCTCCTCAAATACATACATATATGTACGTGTACATGAATAAACATTCGTTTCTACTCGGCATGAAGCATTCAGCAAAAACAACACTATTTCTGTATATATGAACCAACTCATACTTGTGTCCTTAAATGTTTCAACCCTTAACGTTGACTACTACCCACATTACACGCAATCCAGTTGCCTTTGCTACTTTCACTTCAGTAGAAATTTTCACAATGCAATTCTCAAACGGTTCTGACTCTGCCGTATTGGAGTGGCTGTTCCAGAGCGGAGAAAAGCATACTTACCTGGCGTAGAGGTTAACCGTGATCACGAAGGCGGTTCCTCCGGAGCGAGGCTCGGTCATTGCACTTTCGGCTGAGTTGACCTTTGCGATTATTCCTAATGTGAATAACTCGTGCGTGTAATTTTTGGTAGCCGGGAATGGCGTTCGCGCCGTCCCGAATTAATTAATAAATGTAATGTAAATATAAGTATAAATAGTATAAACATACTTGGCATTCATACATACATATGTATATATATGGAAGTACTGAATGCATTTCATATGACACGTCGCGTAGGTATGTATATTTCAGGTCTCAGTTGCCGTTCGTCAAATCAGTGTGTCTATCTTCTTAACTTTGAATGTTCTTTTGCAATATGGAATCTAAAGGAAATTATTAATGTTTAAATTTGCTCCTGAATCCAAGGAATCCCCGTAACTCGTAATCTTCCATTCCGAGCTTGAAGGTAATCAGCTTATTCAATTGTAAACAATCATATGATTGGAACTAGTAAACGTAATGTTCATAAAGACGAAAATACAGAAGTGAAGGATTACTGTCTTAAGTGTCGAAGTGCTGAACGCGCAATGACTTGCTTTTTTTGACAGAGCTGGTTTTTATTAGGCAAGCTGTTAATTTGTGTCTAATTAAAGAACGATTCACTGACCAGATTTTATTTCCCTGTCGAATTGTAGACAAAGTTATTTTGACTGCGACGTGATGGAATAATTATATTTTAAGGAAGTGCGCAGAAAACTGAAAAGACAGACTAAGACCATATTGATAATCATCTAGATATTCGTAGCTATGTTATGCGATAGTATTCAATATAATAGACAGGGGAAATGAAGTATACACAAACACAACAGACTTGATACCCTGAAGGGTAAAGTTGAACTATTATTGATACCCTGAAGGGTAAAGTTGAACTATTATTGGATATTCTATCACCCAGTATATTGACGTTCTCTTCTTAATTGTCATAATGTCTCAGAAATTTTAGCATGAAAGTAATTTACATATGTTATTCAACAAACTCGTTTGATGTATATTCAAAGTCATCATCAATTTCAATGTTTTTATGTATTTTTTGTTTGATAATGCCAGAGGTTCTGTTGAACCCTAATCTGCATACTTTATTTGCAAATCTTTTGGTGGATCGTTTTCATAATATGCAAAATGGTTCTTTCTGCCTGAGTATTGAGGTAGTCTGCCAATTGGCATGTCTCAAACAATATGATAATCGACTAAAAAATATCTTTAAAAAAAAATAAAGAATATTTAATAAAAGTGTAAAATCAAGATTATAAAAATTAACAAAATCACGGAAAAGTTTTCTCGGCTCTGAAGTTTTTAGCATATTATCTCATTTTTATAGGGAAACAATATGCCTATCTTGGACTTTTGATGTTTGCTGGGTATTAGAAGGAAACCACAGACATAAAAAACGTTTGAATAATACTTGAGGGTAAATAACACGCGTAAGTCTTCAACAGAACTCGCTTTGTTTTCGATAGTGTTTTGATTCGAAGTTGATTTGAGATAGAATCAAAGAGGAACCAGTTATACATGGGTTTGATTTCAGCCAGCCATGACCATGAAAATATTTTCCATTATCTAACACAAGCTGCCAAATGTTTTGAATAAGAAAACTTGTCCCCGACCTTGGACCACTTTAAGTAAGAGTTTATTTTTAATTATCATGTTCTAATGGCGAATGCTAAATTGCGAATTTGGCTAATTTATTGAGGCAGGTAGACGGCAGAGTAGAGGATAAGTCGACTTGACGTGAGTTATGAAATTCTGACCACTCGAAATAAACGCTCCAATTT